TTTCTACCCACCAAGAGGAGGTCACCTGACATGAACTGCGAATTATCAGAGACTGGATTTCTAGGCTACATGTTTAATCCCTGTGTGGAACCGTGTTTTCCAAATTTTCCAGTATGGTTCTCGTATCAAATATTCTATCCTTTTGTCCCCATAAGTACAAGTGCGTTTTGTCAGATCTTATATCGTGGTTTAGGGCTAGGGAAATAGACTCATCATGCGCGTGGGCCTGTGATGATCTTGTGTTCACAGTGTGTTTTACAGCAGTTGTTCACCAGGCTTCTCTGGGGCCCATTTGCTCCCACCAACATGATCAGCCAGACTGAAGAAGGCACTAGCAATTGCTTATAAGCAACAAGCATGGCCTATCTGAGGCGAACACTTGGGTGGAGAAATGTTGCTGAGTTTCCCCAATTAGAACTTGAGCTGGAGAAGCTGTTTCTGGGACAGCTGTGAGCCAATTATAAGATGCTGTTGAGCATCTAGGCCTTGAGAGCCACATTCTGTATGACGGACTGGACAAAAGCAATCCTGGCCACTTTCTTTCACACCCCAGCTTGGCTTCTGCTGTCCCAGGCTAGCTGTGAGGAAAGCAGGCAGAAACTAGAAGCCTTTCCTGCACTGGCCTTGGAAACACCTGGGCTCTCCTGGAAGCCGGCACTAGGCTCCCCACCTGCCCTGCAGCTGTTGTAAGCATGTGTTGCTGCTTTATAGACACAGATCAGGGAGGCTGAGAGCCACAGTCTACGGGGCACGGGGAGGCATTTAGCATCATGGTGAAGCCTGCAGGCTCTGGAGCCAGGCCACCTTGCACTGAACCCCATGCTGCCAGTCGCCAGCTGTGTAACTATGGGCAGGCTGTTTAACCTCTCTCGGACTCTCTTTTCTTGTCTGTAAAATATGGTTAATAATAGTACCTACTTCATAGGGTCACTGCCATGAGGAAATGGAATAATCCAAGTAGAGTGTTCAGAGCTGCACCTGACGCATGGTAAGTTTCAGAACATGGTAATGAGGGTCTGGGGGCCTTTGGTGTGCCAGGGCAATGCTTCACCCAATGGCTGGATCCCCACCAAGGCACCTCTTGCAAGAGCTTCTTCAGGCAATGCTTGAAGATCTCTGAGCATGGGAACCTGCTCTCTCTTAAAGCACCCCCCACCCCTCCACGTGGGTCTGTTTCTTGGACAGTTTTTATTCGTGTTGCACCCAAGTCTTTCCTGGATACTTTCTAGCTGATCCTGGCTTCATCCCCATGGTTATACAGAATATATCGAACTCCTCTTTCTCACAATAGCAGTTTAAATCATGTGAAACTCATTGCCAGCTGGCTGCACCTTTCCCATCCGCAGTCTTATCTTTCCTTGACAATACACCTTCAGTTTCTTCTGAAGCTCATCGAATGGCATGGGTTCCAGCTCCCTCGTCGTGGTTGTTTCTGTCTTATGAAGGCAGCCTGTGCTTATGAATGTGCTTTCGCTCCGTGTGCGGTGAGTCGCTGCCGTGTGCTGAGGTACACACGTGAGAGGAGTGGGAGACTCCAGGAGTCCCCAGGGTTAGGCAGGGAATGGCATCCTGGTCAGGGGGCAGCATGTGCTGAGACAGGGAGGCACAAGCCAGAGCAGTTCTGGCAGCCTGTGGACTGCTGGCATGTAAGGTGTCCCCTGGAGTCAGATGCGGTCAATGGTGGACAGAAGCAAGCAGTCTTACCTGCAGGTGACAGGGTCGCTGGGGGACTTCCCTCAGGGAAGCGACATGTTCCCATTTGCACTTTGGTGAGAGCATTCTAACTGCAGCATGAAGATCGGGCAAAACTGAATGTGGGGAGACCATTAACCGAATGACAAACACGAGGGGACAGAGGAGAGGAAAATGAGTCATGGACCACAATATGTACCAAAAGGCTAACAACAGTGGTTATCCTGAGTGGTGGGATGATGGATGATTTCTTTCTTCTTTTTGCTCCTTGTTTTCTAATTTCTCTATAATAAGTGTTTTCCATTTTCTCTATAACTAGTATGTACTATTTATATAGTAAAAATAATTTATACTTCTCTGAAATACTTCAAAATCAAACTGGCAGGACTTGGTGACTGGTTGGCGTCAGAGAATCAGTTTTTTGGTCTTGATGCTCGGGTCCATGGTGCGGACTACCCGAGAGAAGGATGGGAACAGGGCCTTATTTAGGAATTCTGATGTCGTCCCCACGGCTGAGATGAAGCCCACAGGCTACTGTGACTCCCTTTGGCCTCGCCGCCGCCCACCCAGCCTTCTCAGCCGGAGCCCGCAGGCCCCTGAAACTCACACATCCGTTTGCATGCTCGCCTCTGGGCCAGACACAGGGCAGCAAGGCCGCCAGAGCTCCCGAAAGAGCAGCATTTACTCAGACTGTGAGCGTCGTCATGCCTCCAAGAAACACTGAGCGCTGCCACGCCGAGCACCAGGCAAGGCCTCAGCGATAAAATGGTGAAAAGAACAGACGGTCCCTCTCTTCACAAAACTCAGCCCAATGTGAGAGACAGATACACATGTTCAAAAACCACGTAATGAACACGTAATTCCAAACTGAGACTCGTGCTCAAAGGAAAGGAAATGATTCCAAGAAGCCATATAAGAAAGGAAACTTCTCTGGTCTGGGAGTTTGGGGAGGGATCCGCAAGAGAGACGCTTGGGCTGAGAGCCCAAGGATAAGAGAAGTAGTGGGGAATTATGGAAGCGTTCCAGGCCCAGGGAATAGCATGCATGGTGGCCCTGTGGTGAGAGGAGTATGGCATATTTGAGTCTAAAAGAAAAGCTGTTTGACCAGGAGTCCAGAGAGTAAGGGCACGGGCTGGGAGCGGGCAGAGAGGCAGCCGAGGCTGGACCCTCCCTGGGCTTGTAGGGCAGAGCAGGGGCTTGGGCTTCATCCTGAGAGCAGACGCTCTGGCTGTGGCATGGAGGAGAGTTTCCCATCCTGGCTCTGCCGCCATTTTCTTGCCGTCTGAGGCCGTGTCCCTGAAGGCCTGATACTGAAGCCCCTGGTGGCCTGGGTCCCTGGATATGGGGGTCCCCCTCCCCCTTCTGTGAGTAGCGCTAAGAGGCTCTCCCCCTAGCAGAGGCCTCGGAAAATTGCTTTGCAGCTCAGTTTTTCAACTTTCTCTGTGGCTTCGCATACTTTATCGCTAATGTGTATACAACTTGCTAATTAATGGAATCATTTGGATCTGAAAACATCTTGTTCTAATAGGAGGCTGCAAAGTACTCTCATTAATTCACAGGTAGAACTATTCTAGCTTTTCTCTCTTTTTTTTTCCTTTCCCCATCTTGGCTTAATAGCTGGGAAGAATTCTTCTAATTAGCCTTGAGAAAACCACTCCACCAGATCACAGCACCGGTGACTGCCTTGGGGTCTGGGGAGAGGGTGGGCCAGCCGTTGTTCACCCAGTGCAGAGGGTGGTGGGTGAAAACAAGAGAAACTCGCAATACACAGAGAAGTGGGAAGATGTCTGCGGCTGGGCGGGCAAGTCAGAGACACTAAAGGTGGCCTGTGTGGTGTGACTCGGCGGGGGGGGTATCCTATCTTGTGTGTCAAAGGTGGCCTGCGAGAAGATTCTCTGTACAACTGGCCTAGACTTAAGGAAGGAAGACCTGCCCTTTCCCCTGCTTTTCTCCGAGGATGTAAAGACAGTGCGTTTGCTGTTGACGAAAGCTTTCGTGGGACTGGGGGTAATCTGGGGGTGACTTGCTGGTAACACCTCTCTGCCATTTGCAAATGAAAACTTGCAACATCCCCTTACATGAGTAGCATTCTTGAGGTATTTATGGTTGAGCTTATAAGTAAAGGGGTCCTTCTCCCCATAAGACAACCCTACAAGCCTACAGACCTTAGGGGTGCACTGACAAGACCCATTGCTAAATAGGATTTTTCATTTACTCTTTTTTTTTTCCTGAAGAGGTCCGGGTACTTTAAAAAAAAATTTCATTGTGGTCATATATACCAACAAAATTGACCATTTAACCATTTTTAAATGTACAGTTCAGTGGCACTAAGTACATTCAGATTGTGCAAGCATCACCACTATCCATCTCTAGAATTTTTTCATCTTCCCAAACTAAAATTCCATACCCATTAAACATGAATTCCCTTCAATGGGATTTTTGAATGGAAGGCTATAATATTCTTCAGATTTGGGCCCTGAGGTGAAATGGCCTGGTCAGATGTCTGTAGGAAGTGAGGTCCACTCACATAATCCAGAAAAGGTGCCGATGTATCCTGGAGGTGTGAGTCAGTTTCAGCAAAGGAAGTCCCACTGTCCCAGATGCCTAACAACCAAGGTGATCCATGTTTATAGCAGATGGGTCAACCATAAGGCTCGAGTAACCACACCTTGAGCAATAATTAAGTCCTAGCAGGGCCGTCTCTAGTCAAAGTGAGTACTGAGACACTGCTCTAGGATAAACAGATGCGAGGTTGTGTCTAAAATGGGATATTAGAAAATTGGATAGTTCTGGATGAAACAACGTGTTCTTCCCCCTTGAAAGTACAGCATCTGCCAGTCCTTTTGTTTGGATGTGCCTCCAAGAGAGATTTGGAGTCAAGCCAACCTGAATTTATAGCCTCACTCTGTCACTCACTGTCTGTTGACCTTGAGCCTCAGTTTCCTCATCTAAAAAATGAGGCTTGAGGGGCCAGCACAGTGGCGTAGTGGTTAAGTTTGTATGCTCTGCTTTGGTGGCCTGGGGTTTGCAGTTTCAGATCCCAGGCATGGACCCACACACCACTCATCAAGCCATGCTGTGGTGGTGACCCACATACAAAGTAGGGGAAGATTGGTGCAGATGTTAGCTCAGCGACAATCCTCCTCAAGCAAAAAAAGAAAAGAAATGGGGCTTGAGAAACATCACTTGTAGAGTTGCTAAGAAGATTGCATGAAATCGTGTCAGTATGGCATCCAAGATAGCACCTGGTCAATTAGTGGAAGCTGGTGTTCTCACTGTGCTTACTGTCTATGATTTTGTCACTGTAGGTCTCCAGGTGGTTCTGAATTCCATTATCAAGGCCATGGTCCCCCTGCTGCACATTGCTCTGCTAGTGCTGTTTGTCATCATCATCTATGCTATCATCGGTCTGGAGCTCTTCATGGGAAAGATGCACAAGACCTGCTACAACCAGGAGGGCATTGCAGGTAAGGGAGGACGCTGAGTGGCCGGCTCGCAAGAGCCTCCACGCTCTCCTTGCTGCTTTCCATTCGGCTGGTGTGCTGCCGCCGCATGACCAGCAGTGCTGGGGAGGCCCCTTCCACTCCAGCACCCGTGTCCTCATACCATGATTGAGCGAGAGGCAGAGATTGGTATTCTGTTTCTCTTGGTTCTAATTTTTGTTTTTACTAAAATAGATCTCAGTTAAAACAGCTAAATGCAAGCCTCGTCCAGCACTACTAAACCCTGTTTAAATGAGGTGTGCAATTCGAGAAACATCACTTCACCAACCTCGAATATTTTAAAAGTCAGAACTAAGCTGGTGACTGTGTGTCTGTCTGCTGCATCCGTCCTTCAGTGTGGCTTGTCATCAGAAGCCCTTTCAGAAAAGGCTCAGCCCTCAGCCTTTGGGCTCTCCCGTCACAACCCTGGGTTCTTGTCACCCTTTGAGGCCATCCTGGCTCTTCTGTTCTTGATATTTTCTGTGTCTCTATCTGTAGGCAGGACCTCAGGGCCCCCATCCCAGGGTGGGGGAGGGCATGGGCATGGAGTCATCCCCCTCCAGCAGCAAAACTTCTCTTCCTCCAGATTTAAGTCGACCTCATGACTTTAGCTGTCCCTTCCTTTCCAAGACTTCTCTCTCCAAATTCCTTCCCTGAATCAGTGTATTTAACAAGCAATACTGGCTCATCAAGCACCACCCTGAGTAGGACTAGAGTTTTGGCTTGTGGGATGTGCTACAAACTCCTGTCTTAAGCTACTCAAATCTCAGCTTGACCATTAAAAAAACATTTAAACAGAAATTGACAAGGCTTTTAAACAAATATATAAAATAGTTTAACACAAAACTTGTTGAAAAAATACCGCCCCCCCAAATGGGTTAGCAATGTTAAATTTATGTGGATTTTTTTTTTCAAACAACATCTTTCATCTTAGTTTTTGGCATCTTGGTGGAGAAAGGGGAGCATCTGGCTGATGCATTAAAGGGCGCTTCATTTCTCTCCATCGCTATCTACTGCTTCGCATTCCCATTCAGCCCAGGCATTAAATTAAATTGACCCCTCTTGCTTTACGGGGTGAGGAGGGAAAGCATCTGTACAACAAGGAGTGAAATGGATTATTTATGTTCAGAAACCAGAATAGATTACCTGGTCTGTATGATCTGTTTTGACTGGATGGATTGACTGGGTATTTGCAAGGTTTTAGGTCACTGCCACATGGCCACAGTCAAAAACAAACTATAAACCTATAGTCACAGACTCACACTATTGTTTTTTACTTTTTTGATAGAGACTCTGTTTAAGAGGAGACTGTTTTTTCACTCTAGAGAGAATTTCCAAATTACTTGGGTCATAATTATATAAAATAACCTATCGTGTTAAAAAATATAGAAGTTCTTTAAAATTGAAGCCAAAAGGTCTTGCCGTTAGCTAAAATTCTGAGATTCCCAGCCTTGCTTAAAGAAATACCAAATAATGCAATGAATAATATTTTCCCCTTTAATTCAAATCCTCCCTTTTGTTCAGTTCAATTTACAGCTAGCCCCGAACCGATAAATTTATGTTAATTATGTGGTTTTGTTAGAACTCGTTCTAAGACCTGTTGAAGAGCTGCTGGACTGTTGTGTTGCAATGATCAATGACCCATTTGACCCAAATTCCTCAGGCAGTCACAGGGATGTTGAGTGTCAAAGACCCCATCAAGTCAGCAGTGGGCAATCGTGCGGCTCCCGCCAGCAGCATACCAGATGAGGGAGAATGAAATGGTAAAATGCCACCATACAGCCAAAGATACAACCTTGCCCAGCAACCAAATGTCTGTACACCACTGGGCTAAAGAGAACTGCTCCCAAAACTGCGCATGATTTCTATCATCCTATGGGGAAACAGCAGAAGTGTGTTTTCAACTGGTGGCAGGATCTTCGAAGGGCCTGTGCCAGCAAGCAGCCCTGAACGTTGGTTGGAACTCACTGGGCTTTGTTGTCAGGCCTCCAGTGGCCTCAAATGGCAAGAAAATGGTGGGCATGATAAACAAGGAGACAGAGGATGGGAAGTTCTCCTCTGTGCTGCAGCTGGATGCTCCAGTGAAAAGGCCACCTGAGGCCTGTGAGAGTTTAGTGGCCTCCTTGCTCTTAACAAAAGGACCAGAACTGGCCTCACCAATTGGAGTGGCCAATTTAGAACTATATTTTTGTCCATCTACGATGGTAAATAGGACCAGGAACAGTACCTGAGACATCGCCTGCTTCCTACCAGAAGACACATCGGATTATTTATGTGGAGGGTTTTACCATACCCCCCAAGTTCAGAAGAGAAGCTGGCTCCCATCATGGACACGACCATCAGCCTGGAGAACCAGGCTGTGAGAGGACAGACACCAAGAGAAGTGTTCCAGAGAGAGGAGCACTGCCAGCTTACCCGGGAAGGTGACCGCACCCGTCTGTGTGGAGCCGACTCCCTGCTGGGAAGAGGGGCCGAGGACACTTGGCTGCAGAAGCCTTTCCTCTCAACACTCAGCAATCGGGAGCTCACTTATCTCCTCCTTCCTGAACCTGCTATCTGATGACAATCCCGGGACCCACTCCATTGCTCCCAACAGAACACAATACTGCTGTCATCAGAGCCTCTTCCACCCACACAGTGGTGACACTGATGAGGAGGAAAAGTGTCCAGGACTCTGGACATCCTCAGTGCAGCCACAGAGTAAAAGGTCAAAAATCTGCAGTCTTTGAAACTAATCCCTACAGGTTTTAGAGAATTGTGCCACCTTTGGAATGGGTGATTTTTTTTTTTAATTTCAGACTTTGGATTGAATTACCATGTTTTCCTGTAAGTTTAGATTATACAAAAGTGCCTGTGAGCCCTTGTTATAATTTTTTAGTGGAATTTACATCAAATTCCTCTTTTAACACTTTGAGATTATTTCTCAGAGTGTGCATTTTATGTGCTTATAGATTTTAGAATGCAATGGATTTTGAGCCACATTTCCTATAAAATCCATAAAGAGAGCTCTGAGGCTGGCCAGGTGAACCATTCCTCTGCCTCTGGGCTGCCCTTCCAGTCCCCGGAGGGGCCTTCTCAGAAAAGGCACGGTTCCCCAGCCCCTGCGGCATCTGCAAGGCGCCTTCCTCTTTCCTGTGCAGGTCGTCACCATATGCCAGTACCTTTTGTTTCTGGTCGTCCCATCTGTTTGATGGCGCTCTGAGCCAGGTCACTCTGAATCGCTCTCCCAAGCACAATAATTACCCCTAAGTCTGGCAAAGAATTGGTTGGCTAAAACCTAGAAATGAAATCACTTTCAGTCTATTCACTCCTTGAAGTTGGATCCTAAGAAGGGAATTGATTTTGTCTTTGGTGATTTCTCCTTGGAGCCCCTAACTGGCACTCCCCAGAGATATTATGTTCTTGTTGGTATTAACTGCATTTCTAAAATCTCTCCTCATCTTTGCCTCTGTTATTTTACTGCAAACTTAATTTGGACTTTTCAGAATGACTCTACCTCTCTTCACTTCTGTCTTGTTTCTCTCTCCCACCTCATGTTCCCACTTCCCTCCCTGGGACTTCGTGACTCTGCAGAAGAAAACCAACACATTTTCATGTGCAAGCTCGTTTCCCTCACTCTCGCGTGCATGTCGCCAGGACCTGCTGACTTGTGTGTGTTCACATGTTTCAAGTGTTCCCTCTAGTGCTTTTTATAGATGCCTATTTTTACCAGATCATCATTGCTTCTTAATTGTTCTCAAATCCTTTTTGTTGTTGTTCAAGACAGATTTAAAACAGCAGAGCGGCACTTGAGCCATTAGATGAGCTTCCTGAATCCCGTCCCTTCCTCTTTTATTCATGAGATTGCATTCCCTTGATGCGTTTTCTTTTCAGCATATGTATTTGTAAGACCCCAAAATGTGTTTTCTTCCTTAAGGACACTCAGAAGTCACTTTGGCAGCCTTTACCTTTTCCTTATTTCTGCCCATGTCAGGATTGGGAATGTAGGGAAAGCTGTCGGATAAGCAGCCACAGTGCCAGAAAAACAGTGTCCTTATTGCACTAAAAAGGAAAGCAGCAGAGAATGAATGCACGTTTCCCCTTTATGTTTTCACCTTCTCTTTTTGTCCTGTGTTCCATATCATTCTGGCACTTTTATCACAGTGACTGAGCACATTACTCCAGAAAGCAGTCACTAGAATGGGCAACAACCCAACAGAATTTACGATCTGTTTGGCTCTTGCTTTTCCAGTCTATCAACTCTCAATTTTTTAGGCGCTTGTTATCCACTTTTTTATGTATTCTTGAGGTTTGAGATTCACTTTTTAGTTTCCCTCCTTTTATAGCCTCGCATTGTTCAAACTCACATCCAAATCTCCAAAGATTTCAAAATTTCAGAAGTCACAAAAACTTGTGGCTAGAGTTCAACTGTATGAATGGATCCCTCCTGGACCCAGACCCTGAGTGGTACAACACTGTTGTCCCCTAACATGGTTCAGGGGCCAGTGATCACCTCAGTCGTCACCCGAGGACTCGCATAGCCTGAAGCACCAAGCCAAGAAGAAGCGGGAGGCAACACCATTCACAGTAGCCCAAACCTGGAAACACTCCAGATGTCCATCAGCTGGTGAAGGTTATCAACATGCAATGAAATGTACTGCTCGGTAATAAAATAGAACAGACTGTGCTGATATGTGCAGCAGCACAGGTGAACCTCAAAAACGTCATACCAGATGAAAGAAGAGGGACACAAAAAGCCACGTATTATATGATGCCATTTATATGGAATTTTCAGGAAGGAGAAGCTACAGGGACGGAAAGCAGATCATGTTGCTAGAGCTGGGGATAGGAATGGGACTGATGCAAACAGGCTTACGGGAATTTGTGGGCGATGGAAGTGTTTCAATGTGGATTGTGGCGATGACTGCACAACTATGTAAATTTACTAAGAATAATTGAGCTGTACATTTACATGATGGATTGGAGAGCATGTAAATCGTATTTCAATAAAGCTATTAAAAAGAGAGAGAGAGAAAAGAAAAAAAGCCAAGAAGACAGAATCCAGCATATATTTTCAACCATACTGCTCAACTCCATTCTCCTAAGAATTCTCTCTTAGTTAAGGATTAATATTTCTCTTTCTGTCTTCCTCTTGGGAGTGAACAGTTTGAAGCCACAAACTGAGAGCAGCCAACCAACCAATAGGCTTCAACACAGAGGTACTAGACACTTGTGGTGGTTTTGGTGCATGTGAAACAAGGAAAGATCCGGGGTGACCTGTTGTCTCCAAATGAAGAGCTGCAAGCAAGTCTGCCTCTCGGGGCATATTTTCACTGTTGTTAGAGGCAGTCATTTGTTAGAACTGGAGTCTAGTCTATTTATTACTGTTACTTTCTACAAGCATGAGACACTGTCCTTAATTTCACAAACTTCTGAGAATTCCACACTTTTATCTTCCACAGCTGGGGCCAAGACCGTCTCAGTATTTTACCATAATGGAAATTCTTACATCAGCCAACTCTTACTTCAGTTTACCACTGATTTCCACACCAAAAATATAAATCACATCTTAACTCATTAATTGTCTGGTAGCTATTCCTGGCATGTGGAATTAGCCCAGGCACTGTCTGTGGCCACAGTAGATATGTTATACTGTTTCCTGAAAAAGCCCTGTCCATACCCAGGGAGTCCGCTCCCTGTCACCCACTGCTACTCTGTCCTGATTAGAAGGCAGAAGATGATTCTTATCTTCCGAAAGATATTAGTGCTGGAGAGCAAAGGGCAGTGCCACCAGGTTCCACATAGCATGCATAAAATATAGCCAGTAGTGTTTGTACTGAGGGGTTGTATGAAGAGTGTGTAGTTGATACTTTTCTGCTACAGTCAGAATTTTTGTCCTTCGTCTAAATAAGGCTTCCACCATAAAGTGACTTGCATCCCTGGTAATATGTAGTAAATCTATATAAAGCCAGAAAGTATTACTGGAGGGGATCTGTTGGCTAACTATATGAAAGAATCTTGCCAATCATTATTGCCCTCACTCTAAACTTTGGTATTCCAATGAAAGTGTCTATAGATACTTTACCACCAAAAGAAGAAGATGCAGACTTCCTATCATTTTCCAGAATGTTTGCCACTCAAAGTGGTTACATCATCATTATTTTCTGGTTTGTCATTTAACTATGATGCTGACATGTTACAGCAGACTGGGCACTAGCCCTACTGTCTTTGAAATCAGTTACTGAGGTTAAAATACAATCTTGCAATTAGTTGAAAATACTGACCTTCTAAATCGATGGCAGCCTAAAATGAATACCTAGTATCTTATGTTGTTTAATTCATATCTGGGGAAACTGATGAAAACTGGGTCTGCATTGTCATTGCTATGGCTGTTTTGCCTGTACCATCAGCCTCATCCTACCACTTTTCTCTCTAACTTCTCTCTTCTTCTTTCTCTGCCCATCCCTCTCCCTCCTCACTGCCTCCTTCTCTTTTTCCCTGGCCATTTGAGATGTTCCAGCAGAAGATGATCCTTCTCCTTGCGCTTTGGAGACAGGCCACGGGCGGCAGTGCCAGAACGGCACTGTGTGCAAGCCCGGGTGGGACGGGCCCAAGCATGGCATCACCAACTTTGACAATTTTGCCTTCGCCATGTTGACAGTGTTCCAGTGCATCACCATGGAGGGCTGGACAGACGTGCTGTACTGGGTACGTAACTTGAGATGGGCAGAGGCAGGGAGTCCAGAAGGCTGCGAACCTTTGCTCGACATCTCCCTTTTCCATCTTCCCCATGATTTTGTGGTCCCGTACACACCTTAATAGAATGGTTGTGAGTATCTGATTTATTCCAGGTCTTGCCTGAGAAACAAAGCATGAAATGTTCACCCTAATGGGTCTCCCTTTCTACCCACCAACCTAAGAGAAATGTCGTCTTTCAGCTTGTCCTGCCGTTGTGAGAAACACTAGCACACCACAGATGCTCTGTGAATGAGCTGGCCAAACCTGACACAAGATTCTATTCGACCCCTCTTCCCAGCATAGGGTTCCTTCTGTTCGTGTCCTTGTCTTGCCTCTGTCCCCAAAAGAGAGCTAGAGGGCACAGTTATTAACTTTTAGGGTTAAAGAGAAAAGTCAGGCCTGGTCTACTAAAACCCCCCCCATTTTTATTGAATTTTGTAGCATATGGCATGCTATTACATTTTTATTTCTCATGTTAATCTTACCTCATCATATTTTGAACAGTCCATCAGACAAATACATTACCATCATTTTCACTGCTGACAGAACACTCTGCTGGTTATGTGATGTGTATTTAGAAATACCTCCTCTCAACTGTCAACCACTCGACAGTAAATCTTCTTTTACTTTAAAGGTGCCCCTTCTGTTATCCAGCAGCCAATGCTATTTTGCCAATCTTTGAGCCATTGAAGTGCCAGATTTTTATACAGCCTATCCCATAGGCAAAGACATACACCATATTTGAGCTGTCTCCATTTTGGCAGAGTCAAGTCCATTATTTGTAAAAACTCTAGGAAATATGATTCTTTATAGTATCTCCTACTTCAGCATCAGAGATGACTTGCCAGAATCCAGTGTTGTTCTCCAGCATTTGGGCGAAAAACGCTTGTTGCCAGTAGTGAAAATACCATCTCACCCAGAGTTTTGCAGATAGTCAAATTTGTTTGGCCATCCTGAAAACAATCTAAGAGCCTGCTTAGGGAATAGTGTCTACACACTAAAGCAGGGAAGAGTGAGAGGGAAGTGAATGCCTTCCCACCGAGCAGAGCTGCCAGATAGGAACTAACGCCAAAAGAGGTGTTGACTTCTTCCTGAATCAGAAGAGTTTTGTAACAGCACAGAGATGTGATACAGAGTATTATAGCTTCTAAGTTTTTTTGGCTTGTTTTTTTGTTCTTCTTGTTAAGGAAGATTGGCCCTGAGCTAACATCTGTGCCAATCTTCCTCCATTTGTATATGGGTTGCCGCCACAGCATGTCAGATGAGTGGTGTAGGTCCACACCTGGGATCTGAACCTCCAAACCCAGGCTGCCAAGGTGGAGTGTGCAGAACTTAACCACTACACCATGGGGCTGGTCCCATGTATCTTCTAAGTTTTTTATAAGCACCATGTCCTACTGATTCAAAGACCCCCTTTTCCTGGTTTTTCCCTTAGAGTCAACATACTGAAACCCAGTGTTGCTATGACATTTGTACCTCTTTGCAAATGACTGCTTGAAACTTGCCTGAATTGAACTTATTATACTTAGGCAAATTTATTTTGTTTAACAAAGCTGATCAAATTCCCAAGTGGCCCTAACTGGTCCATCTGCCTTGGATGGATCCCTCTGACTAACCAAGGACAGAAACATCCTTCAGCAAAGGGGCAGTTTCTGCCTATGGGCCATAAAACACGCGCCTCTGTCCAACTGCTTTGGAGCCTGATCTCATGAGCTTCAAACCCATGCCTAAAGTTGCCATGGAAATGCCTTCCGTGGCAGCAAATTGAGCACAGGGTGGCAGTGGGTGGGTGGGTATGGGGGTGGGGGGAATTGGTATAATTTACCTTGCTGAGGGCCCTGATGTATATTTGTGATCTTCCTTCATCATTCCCTCCCTCTCCACCACCACAAGTCATTGATAACCCACCAGCCAGATGTGACCCAAAGAAATACTGCCACAATGACAGCCGGAGTGGGGAATGAGAAGAAGCACACAACTGCAACTACCAATTTTCGGCAGCTGTGTTGTGCTTTCTCCCCTGGCGTGTGTGTGATAGAGCTCGGGCTGGGAATGGAAAAGTAAGTGTCAGAGGTGAAGGAACAATCCAGGCTCGTGGGACCTGCCTCTCTCTGACTTTCCCAGCACCTTTCTGAAACGGCCATGTTGTGTGTGTGTGTGTGTGTGTGTGTGTGTGCATGCACTCACACACACACACACACCCTTAAGGCTGAAACAGAGCCTCCTACTTGGGTATCCGATGGTATTCATGATGCAAGCACCTCCCAGCCCAATGCTCCTGCTTCCAAACAATTTCTCTAATTGCTCTGACCGTTCTGTGGCCATGCTTTCTATGGCCATTCTTCCTATGGCCATTCTTCCTTTCTTCGTTCTTCCTCCCTCTCCCTCTTTTTTCTTCCCCCTTCAGCATTCTTCCTCCTTGCCTCTAGGCCTCTGTCTCTAAACCCACAGACTCTCAAATCTCGACGTGTATTAGCATAAAACATGAAGCTTTCTGACTATGAAGATGCCCAGACTTTCCTCCAAGTCATTGAATTATAAGTTCCAAAGTTAGGCCCCAGTATCTGCATTTTAAAAAAGCTCCCCAGGAGATTATGATGTCCAAACTGGAGTTTGAAAACACCTAGAAGTCTAACCTAATGAATCTCCATGGTACTGCTTGAATGCCACTGGATTTGAACCAGTCTAGGAGAGAGTGTCCATGGAAATTAAGGAAGTGGGATCTTCCACTCAGAAGAATGGGTTTCCCTTCAAGTCCAAGGGGCAAGTCTAATGGACATGGGAAGGAACGACCAAGATATTCAAGTATAGCAATGAATGGAAACCCAAGAGCTGGGTTCATTCTGAACTACCAAATGGCTAGTTAGATGTTCCTGGGGAGAGAATCAATCATTAAAGTGCTAAAGAAATACTTGATTCAATCACTAGATATCACCTGGATAGAAGGGACTAGGGAGGTCCCCAGTAACAAATGGTAGACACCTGCCTCCTACCGTGGATGATATCAAGTCTATTTCTCTTTTTCCCTGACATCCATTATTTCATCCTATTATTGTTATTTTGTAGAGTTAGTGGGCTAAAAGACAAGTCAAACTTGGTCAAGTAATACTTGAACATTTCCTCAGCCATTAAAGCCATTGGCCATACATTGGGTTGAGACCTCAACTAGCTGAACAATTTGCTTTTGTCCAATGCCCTGTTCAAGTCTGCAGATGACAAGGTAAGGGGTGAAGACACTGGGGATTTGGAAACTAAGCCAGAACTCAAGTTTGAGGTGTGGTTTCCTTGGGAAATGGCTTCTTAAGCCATGTCTCTCCATTTACTATCAGAATGTCCATGCCTCTTAAAAAACAGGGAGAAGTGATCAACTAAAAAGTGTTGGCTTCCTTTAGAAGCAGTGAAGCACCAAGAGAGGAAAGAACCAATGTTGTGTGTCATTACCATTGGTTTCTATTTCTCCTTTCAGGTTTTGTTTTAACCAAACATCTCTAGCCTGCTGCCTATAATTTAAGACTACTTGTCTCGTATGGCTGTGGCATGTGCCTTCTTGAAGATATAAGAGACTGCTAAATCAAGATGATCTGTAGGATTCTTAGGCATGGTTTGAGAACTAGCATCAGTTTGAAACTCTGAATGTTATCCCTTTCACATTGTAGCCAGATCACAACATCAATCAATTAACTATCTGTTCAGTGCTGACTTTATGCCCAGCACTTGAGATAGCCCCATGCTCATGGGAAGCAGAACGACATGGCACAGAACCACAGTTTGAACACCCAAAGAAGGCTGCATGTGAGAATGGTGGGAACGGGAGGCAGCAGTTGGAGTAGGCACCATGCAAAAATACATGTTTCAAGCTCTGTAGGAATCTAGATGCCTGGATAGTTCTTCATCAGAGGGTTCTGTTGACCTCTGCTCACCCAGTGCCCTTCTGACCGAGGGCCCCCGAGAATGCTGCCTCCTATGCGGCACAGTAAAATCACTCTGGTCTCTGCTGTCCTGGACTCACACCTCTTCCCACCCTACCACCAACATATTGGGGTCTCCTTCCTGACACCACCCATTGCCCCGCAGTTAGTTTCTCCATGATCGGTTCTTCTACTGATTTAAAAAAATAGAAACTCAGCTTAAAAATAAGATTAAAAAGAACACTTAATGAGACATCACATAAAAAAGATTTTCAGAATTACAAATAGTGTATCCTGCAGTATCTGGATTGGTTTTGGTTCAGCAGAAGACTTTGGGAACAAAAGTCTAATGTTTAACCTTTTATAAGTCAGTTGTCAGCAACATACTTTGTCTTGTCACCCTACTTACATGTCTGGACATGCTGGGAAGATATTTCTACTAAGCTTGTACACATACACACACACACACACACACACACACGCACCCACCCACACAAGATAGTCCTTCATTGCTGGTCGTGGTGCTGCTGAAATAGTGCTTGATTGTGACAAAGATCTTTTGCATCCAAGCAGGTTGAATTAAGGTTTTGCCCTATTTTCCCCCACTCCATCTTTTCTTCAAAAAGCTGACTCTTTTCACTACAGAATATACCAAATGAGTCTCTGAAAGCATCAAGAAAGCAGAAATGGTAGAGCTGAATTCTACTGATGACCTAGTAGTCATTCTAGGTGAAGAGCTGAGAAAAATCCTCAAGTGACCCAGAAGCCACCTCCTGGGCTGTTTCACAGGCATCAGTGCAGAGGAAGTGGGAGGTCCTCTGCAGGACCATGTGGTTCTTAACTTTTAATCTGCCTCAGTTAGAGTGTTAGCCACCTTGTGTCTGTGCTGCTTTAAACAGAGAACCTGTTATCTAAACAGTAAACTAGTGGTTTATAAACATATTAAGAATAGCATCTCTCAAGCTATTATTCATTTACTTATTAGGTATTATTCATTTCTCTGATATTAGATGAGTTCTTATTATTCCATAATTCAGCTTAACAAACATTTATTTGGTGGTT